CACCCTGCTCTGAAGCCATCACAGCTGTCCTCTTGCCTCCTGACTGCCAGTAGGAACTTGTTACACTGAAATCCCATAAAATGCTGACATAGCTGTTCAGATGGAAGCCAGATGCAGTATTACCACAGTGAACACACTGTCGGCTTCAGGAGGGTTTATTTCTGTTCACATTGTCATCAAAACACAGGTCTGTCAGGTTGGAGGGGCGTCGCCACTTTAGCTGCTGGCTGATGTGAAAGTGGAGCCTGTTGACCAGCCCAACAGTCAGAAAGTGACACTTCATTCTGGTTTATTGCCTGATAAGGAGTGTTTCTGCAAACGGTGCAGGAGCTACGTAAACAGGGAAAATATGTGTGTGGGTGTTAGGGAGGGCAGTAGGAAGGTTAAAGTCGTGAATATTCCTCCTTTTGGAAAACCTGTTCCAACACTTCACTGAGAGGTTAGAGATAAGTGTGTGTACATGTGTTTCCCAGTCAGCATGTGTAGAGGTGGGGAGTGGGCTTCAGCCTGTCAGCGAGCTCGCAGGGCCTCAAACAGCCCTCAGAAGGTGTGAATCTTTAAAGCTCAAGGGTGAGAGGAGGTCAAACTCTTGCCCACCTCCAGGGCTGCACAGAGCTGCAGAGCATGAAGCTGTTTTACTCAAAGCGATCAGCGGGGTCCTCTCAGGATATTCTCCCTGCTCCTAGCATCACTGATTTATACACTATAACTAAGTTAAGGTTCACATAAGGCTAGTAGACAGGAATGTGAAGAACTGACTTGACACAACCTGAGGACAGGATGAACCTCACATGCCTCCATCATCACTCTTTGGTCCAGATGTTCGCCCCGCCCTGTGATGAGCACTGTTGCTCATCATAGAGATAGTTAGCTTTGGGAATTGAGCATCACAAGCCCTTCCTGGGAACTTTAGTGTGAATGAGTAACTCTCTCCACTCCCCAGATCATGTCATCATCAGCTTCACATGCCTTTGAGCAAGGCACTGTGTGTGTGTATGTGTGTGTGTGTGTGTGTGTGTGAATGAGTGTAATCCTCCAGAAACTACCCGTGTCAAGCCCTTCCTGTGAACAAGAATGCAAGTTGCTGGGCTATACAAGCACTGAAAAGCTAAGATAATCATCCATTTGGAGAAAATGATCTGCATTTTAGTGGAAAGACCACATAGGCAAGCTGCAACAGGACTGTCTAAAGTTTACTCTTTTGTCCGGTAAGAGCTCGACTCAGTTCTGTTTGCATTCTTCAGGACAGGACTTGTAAACGTTTCTAGGGCAGCCCTCTCGGCCCTCAGCCTGTTTGCGTGCTGTTGCACTCAATGCCGTGTGCAGACGCTGTAGCTGAAGGTGAAAGCGATTGTGTTTGTGGGTGTGTTGCTTCCTGGAAACGTGTTAGTCTTTGATTTCAGTAGCTCATGATTCACAAAGGAGGAGACAGATTTTAAAAAAGTCAGAAAAGATGTGGGATTCACAAAGACAGAAAAACAAAAATGTGAGGACTAAAAAGCCAGATAGAAACTGTTAGATGGTTTATTTTGACTGGTATGAGTGATCCATCGTTCAGAGGTTCACACCAGCTGAAATGTTGTTATATCAGCAGACACATTGAGAAAGTGAAACTGATTTATTAACCAAATTCCTTCATCTCTTGTGCTCACAAGGTCAGAAAGTGACATGTTTAGAGAAAATCAGTGTCATCTGTGGCTGCCAGTCGAGGTTTCACCCTCAGGTGCTGGTGGCTCCACATCTGTTGGTCCACTGGTAGAAATGGTTATATTTCCATTTTTCCTGAATTTTGAAGCATTAATAGATGAACTATTCTTTCACTTGTTCATTACCTGTGATTCCAGGGAGCCTGTTTTTGGATTAAATACCGAGCCAGTCAAACTGTTCTGGCCACATTAAATATTGTTCAGTGTACGGGTCCCAGTGGCCAAGTGGTTCCAGCATGGTGCACCGTGCCATGCTCACAGATTCATTCTCAAAAAGACTTGTGGCCAAACCAAGTTCTAAGTGAAGGGTCTGAATATTTATGTAAATGGGATATTTCAGTCTTTTATTGTTAATACATTTATAAAACACTCTGAACACTTGTTTCTGCTTTGTGACCATAAAATACGGTGTGTAACTCACCTGAACTCAGTCGGCCATAGATGACGCATAACAGTGGTGGGAAATAACTAAGTACATTTACTCAATTACCGTACTTGGGTACAATTGTGAGGTATCTGTACTTGAGTATTTTCGTTCTTTGCTACTCCATACTTCAACTTCACTGCATTTTAAAGACAAATATTGTACTTTTTTTTCCCAATACATGTATTTTATAACTTTAGTTAATTTTCTGAATCAGTTTAATACTAAAAATACAGTATGGTTATAAGACTTAACTGATCTCCAGTGGAGATTTCACCAGCTACCCAGCAGTAATTCAAATTAAATGTATATAAGCCAGTTAAAACTAGCTCCCCTTTACCACATTAAATGTGATGTGCACAGTAATATCATATGCATTAATGTTGAATGTATCATTCTGCATAATGAGTACGTTTAGTACTTTATGTATGTTCTGATGCTAATACCTTTGTACTTTTACTCACAGTAAGTAACGTTTTGTATGTAAGACTTTTACTTAAGAGGTCTGAGTCCTTATTCCACCACTGGTGCATAACGCAGTATACAAAAGGCAAACGAGGTATTTCATACCACGGTCAAGGTTGTATGTACAATCTGAATCATCTGTTTTCTTAATTGTAAATAAACCTTAATGTTTAAAAAACATTTCCTTGTAGGAAACACTCTGGAGTGCTGTTTTAGGTGCTGCAGTGCTTGTAAACAGCAGCATCATATCTGCACTGCAGGACATATCAGATCAGTGTGTGTAGCCTTTAGCAGGGCTTTTGTTTAGTCTTTGTTCTGCATTAGACGCCCCAGCAATGTGAG